GCTAAACAACTCGTACTTGATGATGTGAACGTGATGGAAGCAGTTTCTACTCAGAATCGGCTTCTGCGCAGAACATAAAAACAGCGTACTTCATTGGAGCGAATAGGCTACAAGGGAATTGGAGCAATTCTGATGGTTCTCCACTGTTCTACACAAATTGGGCACAAGGTAATTGACTAGATTGGATCTTGGCTAGTAAATCGACAAAAGCAAAAACCGAAAATTTTAAAAATTAAGTTCTCCAGTGAGTGTCCAATCTCGAACTGCCTTCCAAATATGCGCAAAGAATCTTCACTATTACCATTGATATTTAAGGCCAGCCCTCCACGACAGCCACGTGCGCAGTTGCCTCCGCTCCTGATGGTATGTGGACTTCAACTTCTTGCTCAACAGCGTATCCTTTTATCTGCGCAATAGCCGAGAATGCCCATCCATCTGTCACTTGTCCCACATGTCCCACTCCTACATGTCCAACTCCTCCACGTAAGCCGGTCTTAGCTGGTCAATGTTTCTACAATGAATCCTAATTCTAGGTCAGCCAGGACATTGCGAATCCGGGTGGGCGTATTTTGATAAAACAGATTCGTGTTATAGGGTAAGTTTACGTCACAGATCTTTTCGTAAATAGTTTTATTACACTGGAAATACTAGTAAACATTGAACTGAGTTTTTCTTTTTCATAAGCTGTGCTTTCTCAGCTGCATGATGATCAACTTTCAAGGGAAATTGAAATTTGTAAAAAAATCATTGTTACAGCGATTCGTGTGGGCAAACTTCGAAAATGCTGAGGAGGTTTGCGTTTCAAACGGTGGTCATCTTGCCTCTATACACAGTGCGGAAGAAAACACTTTCGTAAATGGTAAGTACTTTCCCACTTTAAGCACAACTTCATTGACCTTTATACATTAAGCCGCTCGCAAAAACATTCTTTTCTTAATATGCGTTTTGAAATATTGATGTCAAATGCTCAGCTCTCACCTAAGTTAAATTTTGAATAAGCTTCGTTGATGAAAATGTTCAAGTCTTCTACTTTTTTCATAAAAAGAAGTTCTGCTTGCTTTTCAAAAAACCTATGGTACTTTTTTAGATTTCCGCTATAGGAGTTCGTAAAAATTTGAGGTAATATATCTTAAGCGCAGTCTAGAACGACAACCACCATCTTGAAAATCGTTTAAAAATCTTTGTTGTATGCTTTTGTAACCATGTTTCTCCCTATCACAAACCTATTGAAACTGGTGAACACAAAAACATCCTAACTAAATTTACTTAAGCTGTCTTTCCAAACTTTTTATAAGGTTCTTGTCAGCTCCTACTCCGGTCCAAAAATCAATTTGTGTCGAGTGGACTCAGTAGTTTCCGATAGTCCTCGCTAATTTTCTACGGTATTTGTTTGACTGCCGATTAATCAGCCAATTAAAAAAAAACTAAGCTTGGAATAGCTGCTCTTCAGATATATCTGAATCCGGAATGGACTACAGCGATGACGGTTCTCTCACATGGATAGGCCTCACCCAGGCAAATTACCCAAGCAGCACAGTATGGACGTGGACTGACGGAACTCCGTTTGACTACAAAAACTGGGCCCCAGGAGAGCCAAATAATTCGAAAGGTGTCGAACATTGTGTTCAGGTGAGTTTTCTCTTTGCGCATTTATGCTTGTGCGCAATAAAAAGGATTTCAGATACAAAGTGATTATGTGGGGAAAGATCCTTCGAAAGATACGAGCTATCGACGTTGGAATGATATGGCGTGCAGTACCAATATGAGATCATATGTCTGCAAAAAGGGGGCTTTACATTGATATTTAATTGTTCTAATAAAGAAGAATATTGTAGTACTGCTTAAATGTGTACAGGTTCTTTTGTGAAACTGGAATGATTTTCTTTCCTTTCTTCAAACGAGCCGTTGTCGAGTCATCTTCGAAAGAATTCGCCATTCCTGAGTCAAGGGAGAACAACTCTGAAAAATCAAAGATATTGCACTTTCTTGAGCTGTTACTTTTTGCAGCTCTCTGAAATAGTCTGCGGCCAAGGAATCAAAGACAAAAAGTTTACAATACATACATATGCTTAATAGAAATGCTCTGCTTAATTGATTACTGTTTATTTACAGCTTCAATTCTGCGCTGCAAATTCATTCACTTATGCACGAGCAACAAAAATTTTCTTGCAGCATTGCAACAAGGTGAAATTTTTTCGATTACAGTCGCTCTTGCACTTGCTTCAAAATTTCGTTAATTTTAATATTTCCTTCACCAAAATATTATAATGAATTATATTACCCCATTTATGGTTGTCATGATATGACTTCTTATAATTTTCTCTTCAATATAAAAGGCTTCCGAAACAGCGATGTTGGCAGCTAATAAGAAAATCAACCCTATTTTCAAGCAAATCTATAGTTTTGTTCCCTTCATCGTCTACCTACCATAATTCTACAATAGGTTACTACGATATAATCAGTGAGTATTCAAATAACCCCCAATGAAATGAGTTCCGGCGGACGCTAGTTTTCGAGGTCTGAAAA